GAAGGGACAACTTGAAGCCAGCTTAGGCTTGCACTCACACTTGATGTCATCAAGATAGTTGTCCCCTGCAAACGACCACTCAAACCCGATGGTCCGATGAAAGCTGGTAACGACCCTTCTGCAAGTGTCATTATCATGTGTGCAAGACTAGGGTCACAACCACTCATCGTAGGGGACCTCATGCAAATCCCAAACGAGGTTGTTCCTCCACAGCCACCAGACTGGGTGTGCCGGCGTGGAAAACATCACGCGTGCGCTGCCAGCGGCATTTAGCTGTGGCCTGGCAATGCTTGGAAGAAAGATCTGAAACTGCACTAAACACTTGCAGTTTGCTTTGCTTTTTGCAGGGCAGAGATCTGAAAACTATGCATCTGCGCATCAGGAGAGATGTCAACTGAAATGGTGCAATCCTCAAGCAAAAACCCATGAACATGTCATCACTTCAAGAAAGACCAAAATTAAAATCAGTGAAGATCTAGTCAAGTCTACTAGTGTAGGGCCAAATATGGGATGCCTCTGGTCTAGGTGTCGCGCGCGTTCACCGCCATGGTATGCTCCATTTTGTACTCAGGTGTCACTGAATGGTGCTTTGATACAACTTCCATCTGCTTTGACTGCACGAGACACACATCTTTATACTGATTTGCTATTTCCAAACACTGCAAATACTAGGGCAAGATCATTCCAGGTGTACTTTCGTTTCCCAGTGAACTTGCCTTAGCCGAAGCAAGACGTGATTCTGATTACTTTACACAAACAGAAAGCTTGGCAAATCCAAAGTCTTGCAGGATGACTGCATCACTGGGATAAATTTGATGTAATCTGGGTCTGCTATAGGCGTCCACTGTCTGCCCTGAGGTCTTGTCCATCGATTGTGGCAGCATTGTGCAAGATCCCATGAATTCTGGGATGTTTCTCCTCAGCTTTTTTTTGGCAAGCGAAAACTAATCAGATCCTTCATGGCCTGCCGCAGGTCATTTCGAGCACTTTTTTGCAAATTCCGTCTGGTATACAGCACTTTCTCTGTGTCCGCAGGGCCACTGGGGAGAGCGTCGCATTTGCCATAAGCCATAAGCATTTTCTATGATGGTACTTACAGCACTTGTTGGTTTCTCTGCAGTAAACAAAAAATTTGTGTACATCGATTTCACCACATTGTGATCGATGTCACAACCTTGTCATCGATTAGTCGTGTGATTAAAATTGGGTGGGTGGGGGGAGGGTTGGGGGGTGGGGGTAAATCGATTTCACAACATTGTCTGCGAAACCCCTCTGGAGACGAAGTGCTTGTACAGATTAGCAAGCTCCGTCGAAGAACAAAAGGCAGCTCAGTTCAGATCAATCATGTGGATGTAAAGTAGTATTTCCCAACACAAGAACTCTGCTTCGAGACCCCTGAACAACCACAGAAAGTGCTAATCCCAATGTATATAATTTCAATAAAGAAACGTTCTTCTACAAACAAAAATTGTCCCGAAACCACACAGCCGTCTACCAGCGGTGGACCTAGCAAGTCTGACATCATTCCTCAGCCTCCAACTGCAATAAGATTGGCCAAAGCCTGCAATGGAATTGCTTAGTGAATGACTCTCCTCTTCCACCAGAGACTCGCAAAAGTTGCCTCGACTTCCTCGGATTCACTGAGGTCGCAAAGCACGGGATCGATCTTGTCCGTCTCGAAAGCCTCACCTTTTGCTCGACAATGCCGTTGGGTACATTGTGGCTGCATAGCTGTGAAATGCTGCGAAGCTGGAATATGATGTGACAACACTCATTCAGGCCAAAGCCCATGTCCAGGGCCCACTTTCTCAAACGTCCTGTCAAGCTCCGTTGAGCTCTCTGAAAAAGACACATACTCTCTAAGATCGGGTCAACTTGAACACTTGCAAGTTCAAACGGTTCCTTCGATCTTGCCATGCATGATAACCTCACGGTCACTGCTTCACAGGTGCGTCCATTCGAGGCTCTTAGGCCCCAACCGTACATCCGGCGTCCAGAAGGCGCGCGGTAGTCTCTAGGCCTGTAGAGCCACTACGGATAAGAAGTTATGCATGTGTATATATATAATATGTGTGTGTGTGTATATACCTGGAGACGGGGGGGGCGAAAGCCAGCTGCCGGTCCCTGTACGTGGGTCCCTCTCCACTCGAGTGCCCATTGTCCAAATAGTCTCCAAAGCCCTTCATGATGCTAATGATGCACTGCTCAGCGTCCATTACATCACTCGCATCACCAGACCCCATGTTCATTGCTTTTCGGACCCTCGCTTTGCAGCGCTCTCCCCCGCCAAGCTCTGCGTCCACCCTATCAAAAGGTCCTGTTCAGCGACCACCCCACCCCCACACCCCCTTAACTCACTTCGTTCGCCCCAAAAGCTCAAGCCTAGCCTATCGGGTGGCTTTCGTAATACATCGTAATATACACAATTACATATTTTGAACGCGCAGTAGTTCCTGAACATTACTCTATATTACTTTATTCATATTTATGTGATTATATGATGTATGTGCAAAGGACCTTGTGGGTCTACTTTGTCGTTCCTCTAAACAGCCGCTCCCCACCCAATTTGTCCCTCAAGGCTAGAGACCAATCCATCTGCTTTGCCAAGAAATGAATTGCTCCCTCTGGCTCGATCACTACTCACTTGTTCAACCATTATCTCCAGCTCTTTGAAGTGGTTTGTATCGTTCTTGATCCCTTCCTCTCAATCACTCCCTTAAAGAGTGGCAAACCATCTCACTCCACACCACGCGTAATTAAGCACTCGCCTCTCCACTTCCTGAAATTCCACCTCCTAGTTTCCCCACCATCTTTCAACTGGCACGGAGAACACACAGGACTGAAGGGGAGATGGACCTTTCCAATTTGTATGTTCATTGTTCAATTAGTTCAATAGCATATAATTAGTAAATAATTAGATCATCTAGTCATTACAATTCTTAAATCAAGTACGTAAATCAAGCGGTATTGTTTCCAGTGTGAAAAGGTACTCTATCATGTGTATATATAGTTATGTATATGCTACCCCTCCCCCCAAAAAAGAAACGTTGATGTGTTGCTATGTGTTGGTATGTTTTGGTATAATTGGTGCCGGTGGGAAGTCTTTCATTGCCTTAAATTGAGACATATCGTATGGCCAAGCTTCTTGCAAGATCTTCCCCGCGGAGTGATGTAACACTAAACTCCCAAACTCTGAGACCAGTGCCATGACCTTTTGTTGCTCCTGTAACAAGGAACACTCTTTCTTCTAGTGGAGGCCTTAAGAGACGGACATGGTTCAGAATCCAAACTTTCAGTCGCCCGGAATCGAAATCAAACTGGGCTCATTAAGCCTCGCACATTCCAGGATCGACTCTTCCTGATGTGAGTTTGGGTTCAACATGGTTCCATCGATGAAACAAAACACTTTCAAACACCTTCCACCAAGCCCGGGCTTCCCATTCAAACTATGCCACACAACATAAGAGATCTGCTTGAGGCTCTGACTTTTTGCCTCTTCCACTAGGGCCGGCCCTGCCCCAACAGCATCAAAAAATCAAACGCATTGAAGCAGTGGACCGTCAAGACTGTCAACACCTAGCAAAGGCAAAAGATTGCGCTTGCGGCTTCTTCCATTTGTTTGTTCTCCAATGCACCTCGACGCCAAGCAGCTCCAGCCTGGAACCAAAAACACGTAAGCACAATCTACAGTCTACAGTATATACATCATTCCTATGTTATTCGATCTACAACCGGTTTGTCACTTTCTGTCAAAAGAAGCAAACATTTCAAAATAGAAGCTGAAAACGGCAAATGCTGAGGGTGCTGCGTACGCTTTCCGAAGCTCATAGCCTGGGATCCGCAAAGGGCCTTGTGGCGCATTAGGATCTGGAATATTGCTTTTTGGCAGCGTTGTCGGAGGAGAGTAGTTTCGGATGGCCGCCTCCTTAGATACTTTGCAACTGATGCAAGTCTCATGTTGGCAAACAAGCAATTTCATCTTGCAGGTTTGAAAGATAGATACCGAAGGCGCTTTTGGACTCACCAAGAGTGTCAGCGCGGTCAAGGCCTCGCATGCATTGTCGTATCGCTGTGCAAGCAACAGAAATCAAGCCAAGCATGTGGCCACGGTGGCCACAGCCAAGCGCAAACATTTCTGAACACCTTAGCATCCAAATGAAGAAAGGCAAGACACTTATGATGCGTCGAGGTACCTCTGGCCATAGGAAACCCAGGCTCCTACCACCCCTGAGCAAGAGCAACACAAGAAGCGGTTTTTTGAAAAAGAAGTAAATAAACAAGAAACTGCGTCTCACCTGGCCAGGCAACATCTGGGACAAAGCAACCCGAGGCTTAGTGATGCTCTGCTCGATGTGATATTGATTCAAAATCACTTGGGGCTGTCTTCCGCTCCTTTCAATCATGCCTGGATGTGATGGCTTACAGCTTATCCATCCTGAATCCAAATTGGTGATTAGCAATTCCGAGCCACTCATCGTCCTAGGTGCTCAGCACCTCGAAGCTTGAGTGAAGTTGTACCAGTACAGCTGTATACAGTAGCTACAGGTGCTGCAGTGGTATAGTGGCTTTCCATGTGATCAAAGCTAAGCCTGAGCCACACGGCAGTTTCACGTTGTCTTTTTGTTTACCTCAAAATCTAGGAACCGCTTCAACTTGCAGCGAGGGTTCCTCAGCATCCGTGCTACTAGTCGCTTATGTTTGTACTGAAGTCGATCAGTTAGCAGGCATACTCACTGCCTCCAGCCAAAAAGAAACTCACGTACCCGTGTTTTGCGACTGTCAATTTCTTTCGTCGCGATCGCACCCTGCAGGCTTTCGGCAGTGGCTCACATAGTTCACCTGGCGAACGCCAATTCAGAGTAGCAGATAGATTCCGAGATCGATACACTTACAAATATGTAACAAATACATGTGCAGAAAACCCTGTGCGCGGCATCTAATATGTGTGCTGGAGAGGTAATATATGGGCAACTGCGGGCATGTCAGAGACTGCTGAAACTTCAGCTACAGTAGTTATGAAGCAAAAGTATATGAAAGTAGTAAACCGATTCCAAGTGACAAGAGCATTCTATTCCATAGGGAAGGAGCTCCTGCCGTCTGCGCTTTCTCCCCATAGCAATCAAATCAGCCTGCATTCACCAAGAAAGCAAGGCAAGTTGGGCCCTATGAGTGGTCTCGCAGTATCTCGCAAGAACTATCGATCTTTGCAACTCTTTGCACTTAAATGAGCTTGGTAAACCCTTCAGCTCTCTGGTCGTGCGCCTGGGCATCCAATGATGAGTCGAGGTACGAAATTGTGAGCTCTGTGCCTTCTTCAAGCTTGCAGGCACAGGGGAGCAAGGAAGCTGAAGTTCTACAAGAGGGAAACAACGGAAAGCTTGGCACTATCTGAGGCCAATCCTTTTGTGTGGCCATCGTGAGATTGAGGGTGACAAGCAGGCACACTTTGTGGCACAACGGATGAATCTGCGTGAACTGCTGCCATGGTGCCTTTGTCCATGTCATTGTATGGCTGCTGTAGCACAAAGATCTGGGCAGTGTAGTCAAATTCAATTGCACAGGTTGGTCTGCAGGAATGATTCATGAAAGCCTTGGTCAAGCCAAAGGTGTCTTACAAAAGGAATCGAAAGTGTGAAGAATATAGTATAAAAATTAAAAAAATAGTATAATCATTCACTCGCCAATTCCTCAGGCTGAAACCATGCGAGGGTAGATGGCATACCCTTTAAAGGGAGGGATGATCGATGAGGAGAAAGACAAACGACCACTGGGAGTCTCCCATGAAATCTCCTGATCTCTCACCTCATGGCGCGCCAGCGGAACGCAAGCTGAGAACGAAACAAATGACAATTGTATATTGAAAGCACGGGAGGATATCCAGGCTACCTTGTCACAACAAGCACATGTACGAAAACATGTCCAGTCCGGGCCTGCTGTGTGCCGATCTTGGAAGTCTGTGAAGCGATCAAAGATCGGATAGGCGGTTCCAGTGCAGCGAGGGCGGCTGCTTTGGCAGCGCAGTCTGTCATGCTGGTAACTTGGAGAATATGTTGTAGCACCGGAGACATGTAAAGAACCACTGTGCAATTGCTGCAGAGTGCTCCCAGTAGATTGGCATATCCGGTCTCATTGAGAAAGTTCCAGTCATGTGGCAGGGCAGCTCTGCCTCCCAAGGCCTTCAAAGCTAACTGTCGGGCCTTTTCAGCCTCATTTCGCAGTTTTTCTTTAAAGGTTACATTGTCTCCCAGATGTTCGGATGGCATATCCACGGCATCCCAGTAGGGCCTGCAGCATAGCACTTGCAAAGGGGCAGCCGCTTCTGCTGGAGTCGTTCTCTTGGCTTCCGCAAGGCACCAACAAATCAGTTTCAAGGCTAGCATGTGGAAAGCACAGTCCACTTTCCGGACATATTGTGCAAACTTTTGTGCTGACTTGCGCCGGGCACGCAAAGGACCAAGTATGCGTTCGTACTCGACATTGCACTGAGAACTACAAAACAAAGGCTTCCTTTTCCAAAACAATGGTTTGCCCTCAACGATGTCAGACAGTGGTTCGGACAGTGGCTGCTGCTCATGGCCCAAGGATATATCACCCTTCGTAAGGAGGCTTAGCTGCCAGGCAGGACTACCCAAGGCATGACCGCACAAGAAGCAGGCACCACCCCTTCTGCGAGAACTCTTCGACATTTGGACAACACGTCCAAGAGGAGCTTCTGAGAAAAGCATAGCAGGCTTGCCTGTGGGCTTGCGCAAGGCAAAAAGTCCTCGGCCACGGTCAGGCGTCTCTTGAATCTCCAACGAACATCCTTTCATCAGCTGGGCCATGTATGCTTGCAAGTCTGACATGGCTGTGGCTACACAAGAACTCTGAAACACTATTGTCTACCCGACTTGCCATGTCTCTTTCCGGCACTCTCAGACTACCACAACGCCAGTCCATAATTGGATCTGTTGAAACTAGAGGCTATCTCTTGACGGAGGTATCCGTAAAATAGGCTCAAACTAAAGGACCTGTGACTCAAAACCATGGTCGTGTGGTGTGTACGTGATAATGAAAATGGCGAACACTCCAGTTGCAAGTGGCTGCCAAGTGGCTGCAAGTGGCTGCAAAATGAAAACTCAAAATGCGCACCTCCTGCGAGCTCAATGGAACCCTCGTTTGAGGACTAAGTCCACCGTTTGTGAATGTGCTTTGGTACCTGGTAGCTCGACCCAAGTGATCGATGAGCTAGGAATCATTGCAGGCCAAGAGTCGTGGACGTCAGGTGGGTGTTCCATTGAAGCTTCAGGTGTGTGCTTCTGTGGTCTAAATGGGAACGCTACTCCAGCATGCTCATCAGTTGGGCTACAGGCTTTCTTCCAACTGTTCAAAAAGCGGTTGACCTATGCCTATGCTGCTATGCCCCTGGTTACAACTTGGACCTGCACAACTAAACAGCTGAAGCCAGCAGCAGCAGCAGCAGCAGCAGCAGCAAACGCCGTAAAACTATCTGTTCCTTTTGTGCTGTTGCCATCTTATCTAACCTCTGACCCTCGCATCCAAACTGATGCTCAAAATGCTATCTTCTATCAGTTGCATCTCTAGCACCTGTCGACAACGCACATACCGGCACTTCTTCGCCTCTCCCCCACCCCGTGCTGCGTCCGCCATGCCCAAAAGGTCCACCATGTTCAATCCCCCCGCCCCCCAGCGTTCCGTCATCACACCTCAAGCCTAGCCTGACGGCTCATATTCGCAAGACTTTTGTTCAGAATACTTTATGCGATATGCCGAGGCTCGGGCATTGACAGGTGATTGATGACACTGATAATGCTGGTTCTTGCTCCTACAAAATCCTTATGATGATTTCTGTGCACCTTTTTTGCATTTCAAGTGCAAGTTCAACTTTTAGCCCTTTGAACTTGTTCCTTGAGTGGCTGAGTCGAAGGAGGAATGCCTTATCTATAGTATTGCACGGGGGGAAATGGGGAAATGCTCAAGAGGACATTAGAGAATCCAAACCTGCCGTTACTTGTCCTCAGTTCTGTGTTTGCAGTTTCTCATTATGCTGGTTGACTCTCCTTGTTTCTCTGCATGTTGCCTGAGAGAATCTTCCTCAAGAGCGTAACTGGATTTGTGACAGTGATCACGGAGTCAAGGAGGGTGTGACTAGATCAACAAACAGTTGCCAAAGATTCTTGCTGTAGCTCAAGAATGTCCAGTTCAGCCCGTCTTTGCTCCCATTTCCAGTGTTTGCAAGGGCATCAATCTGTGTCATGCTTTGCATGGTACACTGTGCATCCGGCGTGCTAGGTATGAACTTGCATGGTTGATCATAGACCTGTTCCTCGGCTGCAGCCTTTTTCTGCACACTGGGACACCGTTTCATGAGCTTCAGCTCCAACGCTCGGCTTTTGCCCACGAGTCACTTCAAGCGGATTGGCAAATGACAGAATCCCCAGTTCCCAACCTGGGCTTGAAGCAAAAGGGGCTGAATGGCACTGTTGAAAATAGGTGGCACTGTTCATCAAAACGAACGGCTGCTACATGTCAGCTTCCTTGGGCTAGTGCGTCGACATCTGCAATCCGCTGGTAGTGACCATCCAGCGCCTGGAATGGAAGTCATGGATGCAAAGAACTCCTCTCTTGAGACTCCTCAACGTGCCAAAGCTTGCTGAGGTCAAGGCAATTGATTTGTAGCTGCTGGTAAGATGTTCCAGCCTCATTTTTGAAGGCATGTGTTCAAGGTCTTGGGTATTTGTGACGTAGTCAAGGCACGCCAGTCGCATCTCCAGCTTCACCAGGTCTTAGTCACAAATCGCTGCCTTCTTGTTGTTCTCACTAGTGGCGGTGGCATTTTCTGTGTGCACTGGGGTGCTCTCATAACAATGGGCCACTTATTGATGGTGCTCCTATGATACTGATACTCTCAAGGAAAAAGAAAAACATAACAAATTACAGTAGCGGTGGCCTCCAACCTACTTGCGCTTCTTCCTTTTCAATTAAGCCTTGTGCTGCTCCCCAAGCAATAGTGCATCCTGGCAGAAAGCGGTGCTGTGCAGCGCTAGTGACTGTAACAGTCGGAACCGTCAGAAACCACAAAGTGGTGTCGTTTTGGACCGAAAAGGATCTTGGACTTCAATACCCCTTGTCATCAGGAACGTGAGCGGCTTCTTCTCTTTCTGATTTCAATGCTTGCAAGTTGCACCCGCTGCCAAAGGTGAGCGCAGGCGACTCGTCTGCCCGATCAATCCTGTTGGAAGAAGAGGTGGGCACAGCAAACCCTGGAAATGAGTCTGATTGAATGAGATTGAAAATGCTTATAGTATCTTAATGTATCTTATAACTTTATATATAGACAAACGACAAATTTAGTCAGATTTACGTGGTTTTCCAAAGAAGATCAAAGAAAGAATAAGAAAAGGCTTCGTAGGAACTCCAGTGATCAATTCATGTGTCATAAGAATTGAAGAGGCTGGTCCTACACTTGCGAACTAGAGCTAACAAAAAGGCAAGCCTGAAGTCTGCTGGGCTGCGGAATACAGCAGGGTCCATGTTGGCCGCACCAAGGAACAGCAAGACCTAGAACAAAAGCAACTGGTACTCTTGCAATCCCTTGTAGTTGTGCAATGATCTCGCCTGATTCCCTTCTTTTAGACCAGCATCCTGCCACTTCTTGCCTTATTATTATGATTTTCCTCACCTATTCGTGTTACTAATAGCGAACATTGCTCCTAGTAGTAAGGCCAGGAGCCCCTAGTAGCGTCCTTGTTTCTAGTAGCGAGGCCAGGAGCCCCTAGTAGCGAACATTGTTACTACAGCTGTGGTATCCAGCTTTGGCAGATATGCAGCTCAGCTAGACACCGATGCTGACACATCTTCGAGGATTTCTTTGCAAGGGAGCATCCAATCGCAGAACCTTGTGCGCTGTTGGAAAGTCATGCGTCTGCTTAGTGCGTGCATGGACATGGGGTCAAATTCGGCACAGCGCACTTCCTGTATGAAGGCATCACCGCTGGCAGGGAAATTTGCGAAGACCTGCTACAGCTGTCAAACAACGTACGACAGTCTGCAACATGCAACATCAGTTGCTTCATAGGACCGCCTCCTGCGCTGAATCCGTCTCTGTCGCAAGGCGAAAGAGCAACCTTGCCATTGCCGAAGCTCAGTGAATCGAGTCGTACAGCCACAAAAGTTTAATCATGCTAAGCTGCAAACGAACTCAATGCATTGGCTGATGTCATGTTCACCATCAGCTGTACCTCTGCCGCACCCCCTTTCTCGTGTGTTCTGTTTTGCAAGATGTCCTGCGCACCATTAATGTCAGGGACTCGGCCAAACTTAGGTCTCCAGAAGAAACACCCTGCCATTTTCAGAGCAGCTCATCGAAGCCAAATGGATTGGCATGCAAAGAGCCCTGACTGACGTCTTGAGGGCCGGGTGCCTCTCGCAAGCCCAAGAGAAGGCCCTTGTCTGAATCCTTTGCCAAGTAAGACCACATTCAAAAATATGCAGGTTCCATCTGGACATTGCACTCAACCCTCTCACCTAAAGCATGTGAACAAAGCCCTCGGCCTCTAAAAGTGTGTGCAGCAGCATGAAATACCTGTTGCTGCAAAAGTCTTTAACTAGACTTGCTAGTGCCCTTGACTGAGATGGCCTTGGGACTAGCGGGAGGAGCCCTGGCCTCCACCACAAGCCTCGTCTTACGTCTAGAATCAAATGACTCTCACACACAAATACACTGGTTGCTCATCACCAGCTGAGCGTGCTCTGTTCGCTGGTCGTTTGTGCGCTATGACTATTATGATATTATGATTCTGATTTTAAAAAAATCGATACTTGCTGCGATGGTGCCGCTAGTGTTGCAGTGCCTACTCTAATGCCGCTGTGCCTACGACTCCTACTGCTGCTACTGCTACTGCTCACGCTTCCTCTCCATCTGCTGTCGCTATCATGCCTTATTGAACATCATTGTACAAAGTCAACACACAAAATACACAAAAAATTGAATCGCCCCACAGAAGTGGCCAAGGTTCCCCCAATAATTAAGGAACTCAGCACGTAGCATATCCCCCCCTGAACGGACTTTTGCCTCTACCAGATGCATGCTGCTAAATGCAGTAGTGCAATCGAAAAGGCACAGCTTATGGCTTATGTATTTCGTATTGTGTCCCCAAACATCAATCCAAAAGGCAGACAGCAGCATCACAGAAGCAGCTCGCACCTCTTTTCAGAGAGGTGGTAGTGTCCGCCTTTACAGGTTTGAGCTGTCCTTTTCACCCATGCCAGGTCTTCACCTGGTATGCACTGGGCGGCATTCGAAAATCAGCCGGTGAGAACCTGTAAAGCAGACTGACACCGGGCGTCCAGTCTAGGACCCGTGATGGTCACAGTCAAAAGTGGTTGGCCCCCTTCTACTCAGCGCGTGAAGCAGCTGGAAGGGAGCTTAAAAGGGAAAATTTGCGGTCCTCAGTACTTGTAGATCTCCTTGAGGACCCAGTTCATCAGTGTGAACTCTGAGAGGATGTTCTTCGCATCGACGTAGCGCTCAGGATGGAACCCCGTGGGGTTCGGATGAGTGAGTTCATCGGCCCACTGGTTGAGGTCGCGCTTCACGTGATGTGGGGCAAGCTGCGCGCCCCCTTTGTGGAGAGTCAGGACCAGTTGCATCAAAATGGCCGCAGTGGGCATTTGCCTCGTCTTGCTGTTCAGCATGCAGAAGACGTTGCCCTGGTTGTCCGTGATCACTGGAATTTTGACTGCCAGTTGGTTGCGTTCCCCCATCTTCAGGATGAAGGTGATAAGGATGAGAGATCCCAGTAACTCAAGGGCTGGGATCATGGCGCTGGCAGTTTTGGTTTTGAAGAGCCATGGGAAAGAAGCCTCGTCCAAACGGAGGTGAAACCAGAAAACTGATCGTTTGGCTGGAGTGGGATCAGAGGAAAGCCAGCCTCCGATATAGTACTCCTTTTGGGTGGAAGCACTCGCATCGCTCGCCCCGTGCCAGGGCGACCAGGGCGCAAAAGGAGTGGATTGAGTATAGGGCTCATGGGAGAGAAGTCGTAGCATCTTAGCAAAGGTGCGGATCAGGTGGTTTGGCTTGCCAGAGAGGACTTCACCGCGCCTTTCCATTGCCAGAGCGGTTGGAGCAGTGGCTTGGTTAAGGGGCAGGCGCTGGTTGCCCATTGCAGTCGACCCATGCCCTTTTCAAGGTCCTTGAGGGTGAAGACCTCACGCGCTGCCAGCCGGTCCAATAGCTGCGTTACCAGGGCATGTTTGTCCTTTGCCATCTGGACAATGGGTCCTGATGGGTCAATGACGAATCCAAGCCACGTGTTCGTGTGGGCGAGGGCCGTCTTCTTCCAGCTCAACGGTGGAGTGTAGGTTGGCTAGGTGGCCTTGAAGGAGCCAAGCAAAGTCATCCACAAAGACGAACCCCCAGTCGATTGCAGGAAACACTGCATAGACAATCCTAAGGAGGAGTGCTGCCATCCGTCCCCAGTAGAGCTGGGCACTTGCCGTGCCATAGGTGCCCACCTTGTTGACCCACCATTCGTCACCAATTTGGGCCACTTGGAATCGCCAGTCCCGAGAGTGGATCTTGACGCGTCTGTGCGCCTTGGTGACATCTGCCTTGAGGATAATATGCCATTCTGTGGCCGATTCTGGCCATGTCCATTGACCCTGCCCTTCCTTGGGGGTATCAGGGCCCGAGGCACCTGCCCGTCCGGAAGGACCGGTCCCACAGGAGGCACGCAGCCAGTGTAGGCATGGACCCATTCCATTACAGTGGGCGCCGTGGTACACTCCTCCGTGTGTCTTTGGATGTGTGCGTTGGCCCCCCCCCAGGAGCCATCATAGATGGTTCTCACTTTGTCTCCCTCGTCAATGGCTGCCATGGGGCCTGGGCAAAGTTCTTCTGGGGTGCACCCACAGTATTCGGCCGCTTCGGCGATGGTGAAGGGTCCTTCGACCATTCCCATGTCTCGTTCTTCCCTGAAGGTTTGTTTGATCTCCGCAATAAACTGTTCCGCCGAGCTATAGTTGTCCCGGCCCACAGGGGGCGGCAGGAAGTCCTGAGTGGGATCTGAGTTCAGTCTTGGTAGGCCAGATCCCCGGGCTAGCCAGAGTGGGTTTAGAGACAACCAGCGCGACTCCTCCCCTCAGGGTGAGGGGATAGTCCTGGTCGGCATCGTTCATCTGCTTGGCCAGATCATGGATTGCCTCCAGGTAAAATGGTTGTCCTGGTTCAATGGTGTCCTTGCGCGGGCCCACCAAGATGTGGCGTACTTCACATAGCAGAGCTTCCGGAAAAGGATGCTGCTTGTCATGTTGGCTGATGGAGTGACGAAAGTCCTTAGTGAAGGTTTGGACCTTAGTCAGGATCAGGTGGCCCTTCTCAGCCAGTGGTGAGTGGGGCCTCAGTGGTGGCGGAGTGCGCCCTGGGGAGGGTTTCCTCCCCCCATCCCGAATGGGTCGGACCTGGCCGGCGGGAAGGTCCACTCCGTTTGATGTCCCGCCTTTGTGTGTGGGTCCCTCCATCTGTCTGTGGAGGGCCCTTCTGGTCCTCATGTGCCTCCGGCGGAGGTGAGGTCTGCCACTCCCGGGGCGTACCGCAGGCGGAGCCATGGTCCACTGGACCGGGCGTGTTGGTTGGAGGGCTTCCTCCAGTCTGTCCCCCCAGAGGGGTCTTCCGGTGCGGGTTGCAGTCGGAGTCGGATTTTCCATCTGATTGGTATGAGATGGTGACTCTAACTCCCGGGACGTACCGCGGGCGGAGTGCTGATCCAGGGGGGGACTGCTGGGCGTGCCAGATCGGTCTTAGCCCCCAGCCTTGGCCGTTTGGCGGCACCTGGTCCGGGATCAGCGCATGAAGCAGCTGCGGAGCAGGGCGCCAGTGGTGGCCGGGGCCCTGGTAGTCATGGATGGCGTTCGCCAGGCCCTGCATCATGTGCCAGGGGTACCTGCTCAGGTCGGATGACATGAGGGTGTTCCTCTGCCGGTGCTCCTCCGGTTTGTGATCGCAGTACACGCCATGCCAGTGCCGAAGGAAGAGGTTGGTAGACAACGTCGTTGTCTTTTCCTGGCCAAGCCGGCATTGGTCGAAGGTAACCAGTGCGTTGCCTAGCAGGCGATACCACGTGCGTACCGCTCGTGTGGCCCAGATGGAGCTGCACCTCCATGCGCTCGGTGCTGTGCTATGGTCTTGTGGATCCGCTGGCTGGGTGCTGCAGGAAGTTCCATGGGGCTGGCCGTTGTCGCCGCGCCCTGCCCAGGTGGGCGAGGTGTGTGAGGACCATCTGGCGCAATAGGAGGATGCTGTCATCATCCACCAGTTGCTGGTCTGCGGTGTTGAGGCAGTCCAGGCCCCAGCAGTTTGGTTCCCGGCGGCCACGTACCGGTGGAGGTGCTCCCGGCTTGGGGGTCCATCGAAGGATGCTCCATGTGCGGCAATTGGGGCCACCCCCCACGCCGTCAAGTTGCCCCTCCAGGGCTCGGTGGACAGGTCACTGTAGGGTTGGTCCCTGAGGAGGTCATGCTCGACCTCCTTGCCATCCCGCCTGATGTCCAGGGCGATGAGCTCTGTTGAAAGGTCGGGGAAAAGCTGCCGGATGCAGTGGTCTAACGATGTGGCATCGTCCTTCCGCATAGAGAAGGAGATGAGCTGAGGTCTGAGGGGGCAGATGCGAGTGCCCCTGGCTCCAGCGAAGTCGCTCATGTAGGCGTTGCGGGACAAATTGCATCCACTGTTGCAGTTCGGTCCACGCGTCCGATGTGCTCCCAGTCCACTGGGTCAATGCCCGCTGTGCCGGGGGCACGTCATTAGGTGGATTGGAGCCCCTCTGCAAGGGTTGTGGCGTATTACTGGTTGTGGGAGCAGTCGCCTGGATAGGGCCCGAGGCACCTGGAAACTGGGGACTGTGTCCGCTGCTTGTCAGGTTCCCACGGTGGCATGGGAGTCCCTGGATCCATATCAGAGCGTGGAGCATCTGTGGATCCCAGGGCTAGTCACTTGTGTGGGCAGTTGCCGGGGCTGTGCTGCCCTGGGGGTGCATTGCAGACCCAGCCGTCCTTCATGACTGGGCAGTTGTGCGAGCGCCCACAGCTGCCTTGGCACGCTTTCCGGACATGGAAGTCGCGGCAGAAGGGCGTGCCATTGGGCGCCGCCGTGGCCCAAGTGGAGGGCCATGATGACTTCGCCTTGCCCTTGTCTTTCGTCTTGGACTTCCCCTTGCCTTTGGGAGGCGAGCGCCCGGATTTGACCTGGCCCTTGGACCATTGGGGCTGCCGTGGCGACCAGGCGATGCTCCTCTTCCCTTTGGTGTTGGGGGGGCGCTGCGAGTTTGGCATCGTTCGTAGACCTCCCGTGTCCAGAACAAGCTGTCTTGGCGGAGGTCTTGCGTGGCATCTTTCAGCGTCGCCCCTTCGTAGACCTTGTTGTGGATCTCCCGCCACGCATTCCGTTCTGCATAAACCAGGGTGGATTCAGAGGGGGAGGGTTTCCGCTCAGCAATGTCCTTGCCCCAGAACCACTCGTACCAGTCATCCAGGTCGAGCTTGGTCACGTTGAGCTGGGGGTGCTGAGGGAAGCTGATGAGGCACATGTACAGGTTGTTCCGAAAGACCATGTGCATCTTCTTGATCTGTTCCTTAGTGCTCGGGAAGGCTCTTTCTTCTTCTTCAACCTCCCGTTCCCATCCGTCAAAAGTGGCTTTTCGTTTGATCTTAATGGGTTTTTCATCAGTGTCTGGAAGCGCTGAGATGATTTGCTTGGTAAGGAAGAATCCAATCTCCCCATGGGCACACAGCTTGAATTGCTTCTTCAGGAAGTTGTCACTGCCCTGGTGCTTGGGTCGTGGCTGGCTGGCGATGCGGTCCCAATCCACGAGGATTTGTTTGCGGTCACAAACCGCGTCCAAGCCAGTGGTCTTGCCCATGGGTAGCAGGGGCTGGTCCGGGCCACGCCAGGCCCGTGATCGTCTCTCCAATCGTTTCCTTAGCCAGGCGCACACACTGAAACATGCGCATGGAAATGAGTTCCCGGAGTTCGCTTGTCCACCCATAGTCATTGCCTGCAAAGTTCAGGTTCAGGTCCTCCATGGTGGTGTAGCCCGCCTGGGCCATCTGGGCCATCACCCAGTACGGGGTCCCCTTCTGTGTGAGGAGGGCCTTGACCCCTGCACTCAGCGCATCCACTCGTTCCTGAAGAGGTTCAGGTACAGGGTGAGGGGGGCGTATCGGCATCGGCGGCCCGGCCGGAGCGGCCATCCAGGGAGTGGAGGGTGGGTTCGCAAAAGTTCGATCTTTGATGGATCAGGAGCTGATCCTTGAGCCAAAATGGCAGGCCATTTTGGCAATGAAATGTATTGTGGACACATTGTTTGCAATCCGCAAACTCCTTGCAAAACCAAAGTGTCCCCAAACATCAATCCAAAAGGCAGACAGCAGCATCACAGAAGCAGCTCGCACCTCTTTTCAGAGAGGTGGGTTTGAGCTGTCCTTTTCACCCATGCCAGGACTTCACCTGGTACGCACTGGGTGGCATTCGAAAATCAGCCAATCCCGCAGGACGCATGCCACCCAGTGGTCGCCAATAAGTGGCAACCGTGCGGGGTCGATTCCTCAGGAGATAGGACCAGAGGGCGAGCGACGCCTCCCTTGCTCCTGGCCGGGGGATATCAGGGCGTGCAGCACCTGTCCCTCAGCCCGGGGGTAAGGGGAAAGGCAATGTCAAAATCAGTGGGTTTCACTCCACTGCACGCTCGTGGGATCGGTGGAGCATCTCAGAAATGACCTTCTCCGTGTCAACCGAATCATCCGTGAGGGAGTCCTCGGAGTCTGGCGAGGAGGCTGACGAGGCCTCAGTAGGCAGAGGCGCATTTGGGGCTGCTGGTGTCTGCCAGTCCGCAGGGAAGGTGTGGTGCTTGAAGCACCGTTCGCAGCAAAGGTGGGCATCGATGTTCGCGATGTACTCGTCCGATGTGAGCTCATTCACTCGGGCCAGGTTGGGAGATCAGCCGCACCCAATGGTCTTGCCCTGGTTTGTCCAGGACCCACAGGGGCCCGGAGGCATCAGCGACCGAGTCTCCCAGCTGGCCGTGCTCTCGGAATGGGCCTCAGTGGGCGTTCCGGAGGCGAGTTGTGCGGGCCCGGAGGTGTGCCGGGTTGTCCAGGTCCCTCTTCGTCGATGGTCACCACCCCCGGGTCCTCCCAGTCCGGGTGGTTCAGGTCTTAAGATTCAGGGAGGTAAGTTTCGACGCCTCCCAAACCCGGGTGACCACGTTGCGCTTCTCCCGGGTGTAGATGTCCGCTGTGGATTCAGTGGTCCAGTTGCCCAGGTACTGGCGTTGGCCCCGAGGAATGTGCAACTGGAAGGCGCAATCAGGGATGAAGACCCGGAAGGAGTGCCAAGAGAGTTTCTCCACTTGTGGGCCCCGTAGGCCTCGCCGTCCCAGTGCTGCCTTAAGCCATCGGAGCGCCCGGTCTGGTGAGGAGGGTCGAGGAATCAGGCCCAGGCCATCCTTGCTCAAGGTGGGGATCAGGTAGTCCGAGTCCACAAAGGCCTCAAGTGCGTGCATCTTGCGCCACGTGATAGTGAGTGGGGTCCACCAGTCGTGGCCTGTGAAGGAATACTTGGGTGCAATGAGAGGAACTGGGGACTTCTTCATCTTGAAGGCGGACACTGTCTTGGTCTGCCATGCACTGAGTTCAATGGTGGAGGAACTGATCTGCAGGCTACTAGTCGAGGTATGTTGGAGGTCATTGAACCTCGCGCTGCACGCCACCTGGAAGCGGACCACTCCCAGGATGAACTGGTCCAGCAGGGGGATTCCCCCCTGATCAGGGCTCGGAGCACCTTGTAGGGAATCCCCGCCGCACCGCACTCCAGTGCAGAAACCCGGCGCTCACCACTCCGGTCGGTGTCTGTGCAGGGTCAATCACTAGAAAGGGTTCAAACAATCCCATGGGCAATTCCGCCTCCTCGGATGGCCCGTAGTGAGCCGCCATGATCAGGGCGGTCAGACATTCCCCGTCTGCCTGGACGGGCGAGAGTCCATTTCGTCTGAGGGTATCCTGCGCGTGGGAGGGGACCGTGAGGTAGGTCCTCGTGCAGGGGGGCTTCGTGGCATAGTGCTGAAGCTCCATGAAGCCAGGCTGGGGAGCCGTCCACACCGGAGGCGCAGCCCAACCGCCAGCAGTTGAGCGCCAGCGCCCAAAACCCTCAAATGGCTGCGGAACGAGCACAAGGTCCGAAGTCCGAGATCAAAAAGCGAAAAACCAAGGTCACACAAAGTCACGTCCGTCCCGTCTCCAAAGTAAAAAGCCGGTACCAGAGGCTTTCCCTACGACTCGGGCGACTGCGAGTGGTACGGTCCACTCTACGGCTGTGTCTGGCGGCAAGATCCAGCTCGTGAAGCAGCTGGCGCACATGTAGGGCAGCTTGTCCTCCACCTCCGGGAGGGCCGTCAGCTTCTCCATGGAGCGCGCCCCTTTGGGCAAGTGCTTGGCCTCCCAAATCTCCTGCGCCAAGTGCTTGGCCTTGGCGATGGCATAGACCTCGACAATGCGAGCAAAGGCCGGCGGGGTGAGCTTGTTCACGTCGAACTTGAGGCAAAGCTCAACGATCTCCCCCACCTGGATGCTCCGCAGCGGCTGCGCCAGTTTCTTTGGGAGGCAGGGAAGGCCAGCCATGACATTGGTCAGAAGGATGTTCCCGTCCTGGGCGAAGGAGTAGGTCACAGGATCCTGCAAGCGCTGCTCCATCGGTACCTCAGTGTCCAGGCTCGTCCGCAAGGTCGAGGAAGGCACCGGCGGCAGCTGCTTGCCCAGCAGCGACAAAGCCCCTGAGGCCGGTACAGGGGAGGATGACACATCCTGTTGAGTCTCGGTATCAGGGCGTGAAGCACCTGCCGAGTCTCGCGAATGGTCACCCCCATCCAAGGCACCAGTTTCAGAGGGACTCACTGACGGAATCCCAGTATCAGGGCCAGGGGCACCTGCCGGGACTCCCGCGTCGTCCGCCTGATCCAAGGGGCGTTTGCGGCTGCTTGGCACCGCCGTTGGATCCTCAGCCACCACGGAAGATGCCGTAGGAGGAGGAGCCGAGGTAGGGCTCGCAAGTCCAGCAGGGGCCTCCGCAAGGAGAGAGAGGTGATGCCACTCACCATCGCTCCAAGTCCCGCTCCAGGTCACGGGGATCACGTAGTCGGCCAAAATGGCCATCTCATCTTGATCAGCTGCAATCTGGGCAGTCTCAGCGGCTGCCACCTCCTGCTCCATGGGATCCTCTCCCAGGATCACAAAATCCTCCGCAGAGTCCAAAAGCTCGAAGTCGAAAAGTTCAGCCATGGCGGCGAAAGTCAGAAAAGAGCGAAAAGCGAAAGTCGCAAAAGTTCGCAAGAGTTCGATCTTTGATGGATCAGGGGCTGATCCTTGAGCCAAAATGGCAGGCCATTTTGGCTAATGAAATGCATTGTGGACACATTGTTTGCAATCCGCAAACTCCTTGCAAAACCAAAATTTGTTGATGCAACACGGTGAAGGTTGCATAGCAGCATGTGCTCGCCACATCTTGCCCAGCGCTGTGCAGGTGACTAAGCCACTTGACCCATTCTTGGTTTTCGCGGTGGGTTCAGGATCGTGACATCAGGCCTCGCAAAAACCATTGGAAGTCGAAGAGGCTCTTAGAGGACCAGGTCTGTCTGAGTAGAAAATTGCGTAAAGAAAAAAAGAAACACGACAGTACGTGTGCCTGATTATCTGCCAGGAGCAACGCATACCAAGCTTGCAAACCTTCAAACTCATGTTCATTTTCTGATTATTTTCATGCTTTCTATTTCGTCCGCAAAGCATCCGGCCATCTGCAACATCGAAGGAATGCTTGCGATCAGGCCTGCATGCTTTGTCAAGACAAGAGTGCAAAGAAGTAAGCCGCGCTGTTGAATGTGCAGCCTCGCCTAAAGCAAGTTGTAGCAACCAGGTCCAGGGCAGTGTTTCATTGGGCAATCCTCAGCAAAAAGCCCTGAGAGCGTTTTGGGCCAATGGTCCCAAGTTGCCCTTAGCCGAAGCAAAGTGTCTGGCCAACTCCTCCAAGGGGAGCCACCAAGGCCACCATTGCGTCGTTCAACATCACGATCTGTCGGACGGCTGGCTTCAGGCTCCACGGTCTTGTCATGGTCTTTAGTGTTTACTCGGTTCGGCGGGTCAATATCAAATGAACATCAACGAACCAGAGGTTAAAGGCAAAACCGGCGAAACCCACCTCATCGATCTTCTCCCACCCAAGCTTGACTCCCAAGCGTGCTAGAGTTCCAGACTCAGTGCAAGGATCGCTACAAGCGATTGAATTGGCGTGAGTAATTACTTTTCGGTGCATGGGCTTGTATTTTGTCAAAACGCATCCACACATGTTTTAGTCAAGGCGCCATGTGTATTCGCTTTGCCCATTGAACACCATCAACCTGTGCTGGATCAGGACTCGACGCACAATATAGTTCCTGAAGGTAATGGTATACCAAAATGACTAGAAGACTAGAACAGACTCTAGACTCTTATCACTTGGCCTTTCCAGAAGCCAAATCAGCTGTGCATTGCTGGATGACCTGTGAATCGGAATGTGGACAGTGGACACTATGAGTTTACTAAGAATTCTATATCATACTTAAAAGTTCATGAAAGCAAGAAGTAGCGCTTCTCTGAGCACTAGATGGGTCTGGTAGGTGTGTCAAGATTGCCTTAGCACTTGTGAGCTTTCGCCTCACCTCTTGGATATGACCGCGCAGATCTTCCAAAGCATCCTGGAGCAACGTGAACTTCATACAAGTGTAGGATTGTGAGAAACAGTCGAGTCCGCGTCTCACTTCGGCACATCTGGTCTTGCAAAGCATGGCCAGCAATCCCAAATCGATGCTACCCCTGGCCCCTGATGTCGCTTTTACTTGAACCGCCATTCATCCTACTTGGTTTACCCTGCAGCTCAAACTTGCGCGAACACTTAAAAATATCCTCCTGGCAATGTACCATCTAACATCTATCTGCGTAGCTCGTGTCTGTTTGGGCAGTCTTGGCTTGACTTTTGAAACACAAGACGCGTGACTTGAATCCATTTGATCCCTATTTGTGTGGGCTCCCTATTTGTACAGTATCCCTTCTGCCACTGCAATAACTGCTAGCATCAACCGCGGTTTCCAAACTCAACGAAGAACACTATATAATCCAACAGTAGGAAACTTAGGACTCAGGGAACTCACATTACTCGACATGCACAAATGCTCGACGGCATGCTGGTGGACAGAATTCTTAGCCACGTCCTGCGTGTAGTGCTTGTGCACATAGCGTAGCACCCGGGTGTGATCTGCCTGCGATGGACCAATGGAGAGTGCGTCGGCCAAAAACGTTGGCCGTATGTGGTGATGAAGTGGTCATTTTCTTCAGCAGAACGGCTGTCCTTTGACATTGTGTTCAGCGCCACCAAGCGGCCATCTGGAAAAGGATTGGAGCTAAAGGATGAGTGGTCATTCATCACCTGCAAAGTGTGGCAGTTTGCTGCAACAAGACCGTGGGATGACTGATCCCTTGTGAGGAAAGAGGCAAAGGGAAGGCAACATAAGGCAACTATGTTCTTTCATGTTTTGCTACCGGGTCGGAAACCGAACGTTTAGCAGTGCTCATTTTACCAGTTTCTGTGATTCCCAATGTATATCCTGTTTCCTTCCAATCCGGTGGGCATTGATGAGAAATCACATCTTGTTTTGGGGGGGTGGGTAGAAAAAAGAAAGCACCCTTGCAGATTTCAGTATTGCGCCGCCCTTAATGACCAACCAGCAGAGTCTTTTAAATCAAATCATTCATTAAAGCATAGGTACGCAGCCAGAACCAATGCCCAGAACGCCGCTCCGCACCAACATAGGGACCAGCACCTTCCAAGCGACAAGGCAACGGCCCACAAAATGTCCGCAACTTCTGCAAGAATCTGCTGCGTTTCTTTGCTTGCAGCAGAACTCTGGTTCATCGGCACCCCGGAGCCAACCCAATTGTTAAGCACAACAACAAAGGAGTTGCTCATGAGGCTCCTGAAGTAGTCTGAACTTTCTCCAACAAAAGCATGCTTCGTTCAGCGGATTCGATTCACAAGGTGAGGTCGAGGTAGAGCCGCGCTGGAACCCGACGGACTTGGAGTCGAGGTTAAGCGCATCACTATACAGGCTATAATTACAATTTTTTTGTCGACAGGGTCGTGATGCCATCCTCAAAAGATCCAATGAGGCTATCTTCCAGCCTTTTGTGAATGGCACCTGCATCAACCAAGCCTTTGATGGGCTTACGGTTGGACATGACACGCAGCTTGGCCGAAAGATTTCCTGCCAAAAGGCCTGCACAGGGGCAGCAGCCAAATCAAGTCCCAGCATCCGCACTTTCTTCGTGAATCCATCTCCAAGTCCTCCGGCATCTTTACGGGGCCCCAGGCCCAGGAACTTTTCCCCAAAGAGGACCAGAATGACCCTCTCATCCCAGATGAGAGCACCACCATAGACAAGGCCGTGGAGATGACTGGGACGAACACACAAGGACGCTCATGACGAACACACCAGCAGCCTAGAACCGGCCAACACGACCCACAAACCTGCAACCTCAACTCTAAAAAAGAACATCCATCCATCCATCCGTCCGTCCGTCCGTCCATCCATCCATCCACCTGCATAGCTATTCAGGACTCATGAATCCAACCACCAGTCACAGCATCATCAACATCACGAAGACAAAAAAAAGTCGCCGCTTTTCAACCCTCCGACACCGCTTTTCTTCACGATATTTCGTTAGGCCTCTCCCCCTACAACCCCCTATCTTACGTCCTTCGCATCAAAAGCTAAGCCAAGCCTAGGCCTACGGCTGGCTTTCGTGAAATAGCCTGCCTTTGTTGAGTATCATTGCCCAAGCTGTCCTTCTGAGTCTATGTGGCATTTTGACAGTTGACACCACTTTTGATTGGGCTTCGAAGGCACGGTAGTGTGATCGGGCTGAGCTTATCTTTCTTTGGGGTCGGTAAGGATAATAAAATCATAAAAGTCTCTCTTCGTCTCATTGAGATTCTTTCGTCCATCGCCTCCTTACATGTGGTGTAGTTGAAGGCAATGTAGCAGCCATACTCTCCTTTCACCTCATAGTATTCAATCATCAAAGTAAACTCTGATTCTAATAATCAAACGGGATGGATCATTTTGTGCCTGGAGAAAGCGCTGTCCCTCAAAACGGCTGTGGAGGTGCTCATTGAAGTCCAAATGGTGTCTTCGGATCTGGGCAGTGGCCAAAGGCATTGTTTTAAACTTTGATATCAAATCCTTCCTAGTTGATAGCAAATCGCCGATCTTCGATCCTCACCTCGGAATCGACCAAATCTTGCTGATGAAGAAAGTCACGATCCCTGCCAAGCTGCTTTTGAGGTACTGGGATGGTACAAAAGTAAAGCATTGTTTTACTCTTGCTTGACTGCTTCACTACAAAGAAAGAATTTAAAGGAAAATGCATCATTCTGGCCTATATGGGCCTGGCATTTTTGCACTCTTCTTCTGGAAGCAGGACATCTGGCAGCAGGTAACAACTCGACGTAATGCAACTTGTTCTGCCAGAAAGCCTCTAATGACTCTAATGCAAGAGTCCTGGCTTGCTACCAACTCTCAAAAGCTAAAGACATCTCCTGCAGAGAACCTAGCTGAGATTCCTTGATTGACCGGGAGGTCTTCGTAATTAAAGAGTTTGCGGTGCACGATAGATATACTTGCGCAAATGGATGTAGAAGGTACAAACATTGCAAGCGGCACAATAAGAAGACCGAAGAAAAGGAAAATGGGCATGGCCACTCCGATGATGTCATGGTACTGCAGGTACAGTCTCAGTCACTTGGTGCACTTCAGTTTCAGCCACTTCAGTCACTTCGTTTTCACCATCTCTTTTTTGTAGGGGTAGTAGCTAGGTAGGTAGCTAGAAGCTAGGGAGTCGCTAGTACCTACAAGTAAGCTACTAGTATGGACGCAGGATAGCTCACGCTTTTTCAAGGAAGCTTCCTTGAAGAAGCGCTCACTAATGATGTGGTGTTTAGATTTTTAGGAAACTTCACTCGCTGCACTTCCACTGAGATTTCAGCTCGCCGAAACTTGAGGTGTTCGGCGACGCTCTCGGAGGCGCTTTCATCGTTGCTGTGTTCCGTCCCCAAGGATATTAAGATGGTGTATGTGTGTGTGCAACCGTCTATGTGCAAAAACATCATCAAGTCCAAAAGAGTCGCTGTTGACCAAATTTATGTAATTGTCCTTTGACAAGTAAACAGTAAACCTGAGTTGAAGTGATCTATAGAATCTAGGTCTCTCTGGTAGTATTCAACTCAGCTCAAGCTGAACCGCTGGAGGACAAGCAATCAAAGATTTAAATGAATTGAAATGCCCAAGACTCCCTTCCCTTCAAAGAAAAAAAACACTGGTGATCGGTGACCAGTCCAACTGAGATACTAGTGACTATGGTGGTGACTATGGCCGCATGGCGATCAAGCCCTTTTTAAATCCATAATAAGGGAGCCAAATTACGCAATGCATCATGCGTTTCTATAATTTACAGTATGGCAGAGATTGTATGGCCATTTGACTCAAGTTTCGCTCCTGGTTTACTGAATCTCAAACAGAATAACTGCAACTGTAAGTGTCAGGAATTGCATGTGTACCAATCGTTTTACACTGCGGGGGGGGTCCCTTCATCTCATTTTATTTGCCTCAAACTTAGGGCTGGATTCAAAAGTACTCATGTATGCAGAACAGAGAAAATAGGCTCAGCGGCCGACAAATGTGAGAGCTCACTTTTTCCACTAACGAGGAAACCCAAGATCTTGGCCTAATGTACCAAATTGATACCAGACCATTTTCGGCGCTTCGGCCAAATGAAATTGCTGTTTTGAACGAAGCAGAGTGGCACAGAGTGGCTGTTCAAGCCTGTTCATAGCCACAACCACACTGCATGGTGCTCCCTGGATTCACAGGGCGGCTTGTGCGACAGCATTAAAAAGTTTGGGAGCACGGCGCTTGTAGCAAGATGCAGCACTTGCATCAACGACTAGCGCAATAGCTGGTAGTCAGTCTGTGTGTCTTTCAACTCAGCTCGCTCGCTCCTCAGTTCAGCTCAAATTAGGTTTTACCTTCCAGCATGGACAATCATTATAACATGGAGGGCGTGCGAACACGGCAGAGCAATGCAGAGCATTTCATACAGCCCTTTAGGTCTCAAAGCTGTGAACTTGGGAAGTGAACACCACACGAAGCACATGAAAACTTGAGCAGAAAACCACACGCCGGGAAAGCATGAAATCACCAGGAGGTCTTGTTCGTGACTAACCCAGTCAAGTCGTATACTTAGCTTAAATACAAATCTAGACATACGACGATCCGGCCCATTAAAGTTCACTTGAACAACATGCACAAAAGCTCCTAGTAGCGTCCTTGCTCCTAGTAGTAAGGCCAGGAGCCCCTAGTAGCGTCCTTGTTCCTAGTAGCGATGCCCTTTGCTCCTATATAGTAAGGTCCTGGTCCTAGTAGCGTCCTCTACCCCCCCTCTCACCGCGAGGATCACAAATTGCATTGTGGCTCCGAGCAACTTTGCTTTATCACTATGGCTCTTGAGGCAGGCACCTTGCCGAAAGTTTCTTGGAATCACCGCAGTATGTCACAGTATGTATTGAAACAACTGAGGATGGAGCGGATCAATGTCCGGTGCTTTTCCTGTTGAAATGGACTTTGCATAGATGAACAAAGTGGCACCTGAGGCTCAGCTGAGGGCGTGGAAGGCTCTCTAGAACACAAGTCCCTCCAGGCATGAGCTTTACATTGCTCGGAGTTCTTGACCAAGGCTGACACCCATGCCCCAGGAGAGGCCTGCGCACACACCAGCATCCAGAATAGCGCGGTATGGATATGGCATGCGCTTGACCTCGAAGTGATGCAAAGCACTGAAAGGATCCAAAAGGAATTGGTAATTTTTCAGCGGACAAATCTGAAACACTGCTCTTGGGGATTGGCAAGGGCGACAATCAGCATGATGCCCATGATCAGGCCCCACGACACAGCCTGCACACGTGCACAAAAAACGCCTCCCGGAGTTCTTTCATGTCTGGGCCTTGCGTCTCTTGTGCGCATGAAAGAAGGCCATTGCATATGCCGGCGCCAACACCTTAATTACACGCAAATGCAAGAAAGGAGTGCAAGGAAATCTGAACAGCTTGCGAATCTGCCAGGTATATATAGAGGTTTTGTCAAAAGCTACAAGGCACCTGTCGATGGAACGGTTGTTGACCGTCAAGAAGCAGGGCTCGGCGCACCACCAACGGAGAGAACTTCTGCTGAAATCCACGGTAGCCCTGAGATTGCACAAGTACACGGCTGTGCCCATAGTGCCCACAGTTGCCACACTTTGTAACAGAGCACCACAGCATGAAAGAGAAGCAAACAAGATGGAGCCCACGAACCCGAATGCAACCACAGTCGGAAAGCTACATATGTCCAAATGACACTCTTGTAGGACACTCTTGTGGGACACTCTTGTGGGTCACTCTTGTAGGAAACTCTTGTGGGACACTCTTACGGGACACTCTTGTGGGACACTCTTGTGGGACACTCTTGTGGCACACTCTTGTGGGACACTCTAGTAGGAAACTCTTGTGGGACACTCTTGTAGGACACTCTTGTGGGATACACCTGTAGGACACTCTTGTGGGACACTCTTGTGGGGCACTCTTGTGGGACACTCTTGTAGGAAGCTCTTGTGGGACACTCTTGTAGGACACTCTTGTGGGACACTGTTGCGGGACACTCTTGTGGGACACTCTTAAGGGACACTCTTGTGAGACACTCTTGCGGGACACTGTTGCGGGACACTCTTGTAGGAAACTCGTGTGGGACACTCTTGTAGGACACTCTTGTGGGACACTCTTGTAGGGCACTCTTGTGGGACACTCTTGCGGGACACTCTTGCAGGAAGCTCTTGTGGGACACTCTTGTGGGACACTCCTGTAGGACACTCTTGTGGGATACTCTTGTGGGACACTCTTGTGGGACACTCTTGTAGGAAACTCTTGTGGGACACTCTTGTGGGACACTCTTGTGGGACACTGTTGCGGGACACTCTTGTGGGACACTCTTAAGGTACACTCTTGTGGGTCACTCTTGTAGGAAACTCTTGTGGGACACTCTTACGGGACACTCTTGTGGGACACTCTTGTGGGACACTCTTGTGGGACACTCTAGTAGGAAACTCTTGTGGGACACTCTTGTAGGACACTCTTATAGGACACTCTTGTAGGAAACTCTTGTGGGATACTCTTGTAGGACACTCTTGTGGGACACTCTTGTAGGACACTCTTTTGGGACACTCTTGTAGGGCACTCTTGTGGGGCACTCTTGTGGGACACTCTTATAGGACACTCTTGTGGGACACTCTTAACTCTTGTGAGACACTCTTGTGGGACACGGTTGCGGGACACTCTTGTGGGACACTCTTGTGAGACACTCTTACGGGACACTCTTGTAGGACACTCTTGTGGGACACTCTTGTAGGACACTCTTGTGGGACACTCTTACGGGACACTCTTGTTGCACACTCTTGTGGGACACTCTTGTGGGTCACTCTTATGGGACACTCTTGTAGGAAACTCTTGTGGGACACTCTTGTAGGACACTCTTGTGGGATACTCCTGTAGGACACTCTTGTGGGACACTCTTGTGGGGCACTCTTGTGGGACACTCTTGTAGGAAGCTCTTGTGGGACACTCTTGTAGGACACTCTTGTGGGACACTGTTGCGGGACACTCTTGTGGGACACTCTTAAGGGACACTCTTGTGAGACACTCTTGCGGGACACTGTTGCGGGACACTCTTGTGGGACCCTCCTGTGGGACACTCATTTGGGACACTCTTGCGGGACACTCTTGTGGGACACTCTTGCAGGACACTCTTGTGGGACACTCTTGTGGGACACTCTTGTGGGACACTCTTGTGGGACACTCTTGTGGGACACTCTTGTAGGAAACTCTTGTGGGACACTCTTGTAGGACACTCTTGTGGGACACTCTTATAGGACACTCTTGTGGGACACTCTTAACTCTTGTGAGACACTCTTGTGGGACACGCACTCTTGTGGGACACACTTGTGGGACACTCTTGTGGGACATACGGGACACTCTTGTGGGACACTCTTGTAGGACACTCTTGTGGGACAGACACTCTTGTGGGGCACTCATACGGGACACTCTTGTGGGACACTCTTGTGGGACACTCTTGTAGGAGACTCTTGTGGGACACTCTTGTGGAACACTCTTGTGGGACACTCTTGTAGGAAACTCTTGTGGGATACTCTTGTAGGACACTCTTGTGGGACACTCTTGTAGGACACTCTTGTGGGACACTCCTGTAGGGCACACTCTTCGTACGAGACTTCCTCCAAAAGTCACGCTGCGAGGCTGCAAGACGAGCTTTTCGTACGAGACTTCCTCCAAAAGTCACGCGTCAAGTCTCAAAAACGAGCGTTTCGTACGAGACTTCCTCCAAAAATCACACGTCAAGTCTCCAAAACGAGCGTTTCGTACGAGACTTCCTCCAAAAGTCACATGTCAAGTCCCCAAAACGAGCGCTTTGTATCAAAAACTCACATGTCAAAGTCTGCAAAACGAACGTTTCGCACGAGACTTCCTCCAAAAGTCCAGCGGAAACACCCATCGGAGCACACACATCACGCAGCCCTGCCAAGCAGTTTCGCGATTCCAGCCCCTCCAAACGACACCCGCTCACACGCCAATCCTAATGTTCCTCGTGTGGCGCACCGGCACCGGTGACAGCGACATTCACCTCTACCACAACTCACAACCTCCCGATTCCCTGCGCCTGCCACGAATCTTTCCGCGTCCACACGTCTAACGCGCACAAAGTACTGCGCCTGCCACGAAATGTCACCTCCGCCACACCTCGCAACCTCACGATTCCCTGCGCCTGCCACGAGAATCGCACTTCCACACCTCAAAAGCCGCACAAAGTACTGCGCCTGCCACGAAAAGTGACAATGTCGTCGCATGTGAGCTTCAACAAAATTTGCACCCCACCACACGTTTGGAATGATTTCGACCCGTTCTGAGCACACTCCCATCCACCAAAATCGGCATTTCAGCTGAGACTTGTCACGAAAACAGAGCTTCGATGCCACACCCTGAAACGCAAATCCCAATGGCACAGCCACATCCAACACCCCAAAAACACGACTCTCTCCAAACGCTAATCCCAATGGAACTCCGCAGCAATCTGCCGATCTCACAAAACGCTGCGCCTGTGCAGCGAAACGCATCACGTTTCTTGCGCGACATCTCATTTTCATGCAAATCACAATGGAATAGCGGCGCAAACTGACACGCGACACATCCATGAAAAGTCACTTGCAAAAGCTTCCCCCAATGGCAGCGCCTTAGCGCTCTACTGCGAACGGTTGCGAACGGTTGCGAACGCTTGCGGACGGTTGCGGACGGTTGCGGACGGTTGCGAACGGTTGCGGACGGTTGCGGAGGGTTGCGATTATAGAAGCAACGGGTCGACCCCCAGACCCCCAAGAGTTAAACGAGAACCCTTCGCTACGCATTCGGGAAAAGCATGACAGGCGAAAGCAGAAAAACTATGGACTGACAAGCTTGCTGATTGTAGGAATAGAACTTGACATAGGCAGGAAAAGGGTGCAACGCGGCACAGTGAATATCAATGAATCAATACATGCATAACGAAACAGCGTGCACGAACATGTTCTGGCCTCTGCATAGATAAAGAAGAAACCAGACAGCACCTTATATCTGCATTGCATGCCACTGCAAGAGCTTCTTGATATGTACAAACTAAAGCGGCCCAAGCACATATGCACACCAACCAGCAGGCCCTAAACCTGCGCAGTCACGAAGGTAAATCAGTTGAGAGCCGAGTCAACAGTTTCTCCAAGCTCAAAACAAAAGTCACACATGTGTCGCTTTTTTGGCAAAAGGCCCCCATCTGTCAGCTCCTTGGATCGCAGGTAGAAGTAGAGGCCTGCAAACAATGGCGGCCAAACTGCGGCGTGGCCATTTTCTGGAGCCCTTTGAGCCCTGCATCTGGCACAGGCCCAAAAGTAATGTCCTTCTCTGCTCCAAAGAAGCGACAAGCACGCCCATTTCGCGGCCCACTTGCTTGGCTTGCTCTCAGTGCTGCAAATGGTAATTCTCTTGCATTTGTCAGAGCTGCAAGGCGAGCATCGGAACATTGGGAACACTGCACCGATGCTAAACGTTCTCTCTCAGCCAAATGCACACCATGTGGAACCGGTGAAGGTGCCAAACGCAGCCTTGGCTTTCAGCTCAAAGTCAAAAGGGGAACTTTGAAAGGAAGTGGGAAGTGCAAGGCAACGCTAACTTCCAACCTAAAAGGTAAAAGGGTTCTCAAATACATTCTAGCATCTGTCTCTGGCACTCACACGTGATTCCTGACTCCCCAACGCTGATGTGCTTTCTTGGACTTCTTGTACTTCCAGGAGTTTGTCTTTGAGCACTTCCAGATTTTCTGGTTGATGGAGACTTGTCTTGAGCACGCCTGCTTGGCAAAGAACATGATCTCTGTACTCTTTGTCCTGGATTTATTGTATGCCTTTCATCGCACTTCACCATTCTTGCCTGACTGCTGTTGCCAGTGCGCTCACTTTGCATTGCTTTGCCATTTCTTGAAGAATGCCTGACAATTTGTTCCTTGGCAGAAACTCGCTCAATAAGATCTGACTTCTGCCAAAACACCTTGGAAGTGTGTTTTGGGTGCTTTCCTTCCCCTGCAGGTGTGCAAGCACACTCTGGCCGTGAGAGAGCTGAAGCTGGCGTGGAAGGAATACTCAGACTCTCTGTATTGGATTTTCCATCGACAGATGCGAATTCTCCCGTCTGGGCCAAATCGACTTCGCTCACCGAAGGTTTCACAAAGGGGTGAGTCGAGCTCAACATCTGCGAAATGCCAGTGACATTTCTGCGAGCCCCAAAGCCCATATGCGCAGCATCCTTCTCATGCCCAGAAAGAGGCTCCAACATTTTGCACAAACATAGAATGTACCCAAACAATCATGGCGGTATTGTTACTAACCTGGCAAGAACCATGTACTCCATATGTTTTCTTGGGATAAAAAGTTGCATTCATTTGTTCTGCCAGTCCTGGCGCAGGTTCTTCCCGACAGAATGTGTTTCAGGCTCCGTGTCCTCGTCGTCTCTCAAAAGCCACAGCTCTGAGACCAACTTTGCAGCAATTGCTGTCCGCAAGTTTGGTTCTTCCATGTCACTTGCACTCATGCTGCACTGTGGACAACGGCGTGTCAAAAACAACTGCAAGAGATTTCTGTAGAAATGCTACCAAGTGTATTGAGAAATCCGCCCCTGATGCTGTACAAGCGCTTGCTACTGCTACCGCCAGTAACTCGAAAGACTGTTGGTTCCTGCTGCGAGCCAAAGCAGACACGTGGCGTGACAGGTTTTGAGACTGCCCACTCTGTGGAGTCACACTTTTCAGTTCCACACCTTGGGTAAAGGGCTGCAAGGCCACGGGGACGCATCGTCTAACGCCATTCAACCTAGGAAACTGGCCTACTTAGAGGCTCTTATAGGCTCTCTACTCTGTGCTTTTTCTGGAAGAGTTGGAATCCGTCGCAAGAAACTTCAATAAAACCACACAACCAATCTATCCAGGAAGCAAAAGCAAAATCACACCCACAATCGCCCAAGTGGAGCTGGCCGTAGCCCGAACCTCCGAAGCACATCACATCTGTGGTGCCTCTGGATGTCTCTGGATTCTTGGCACGTGTATCTTGGGCTCCTGGCATTTAGCTTAGGCGTGGCACCCATGGAGAGAGTCGGAGAATCTGAGCTTGAATACTTTGAGAGTCTTTGAGGTCATAGACCCATTTCATGGGCACTCCTTAGAAAACCCATGTTTCTATTCCACCAGCCTGATAGCAAAATTTTCATTTATGAGAACTTCACAGTCAGTGGAAAAAAAATGAGAAAAGGCAACAGCAGGATGTGGCTGCGACACACATTGAGGTGAGATGATATGATATGATGTGGGTCGAAATTTGTTGAAATGTTGAAATGAGAGGAACTTGGGCTGAGAGTCTGAGAGGGTGAAATCAAACGCCCTCCACGTTTTGTGCTTGCTGCTCAAGTCCAATGTGAAAAAAAAAACAGCTGATGTCCCTGCACAAACCAGTCCGCCTGATGCCTAATTTCACCTTAATTATTCAGGGTGGACCTTATGAGTGGTATCTCATATCCTCTTGACCTTGTTGACCTACCTACCATGTGGGGGATTATTAATCCGGTCTTGACATTACTTCTGGTCCCGCATTCAGAGATGGGCCAGAGCCGACACAAAAAGCGGGTCCTCATCTTTTTCCTCTTTTGGCGCTGCTCCGAACCCATATGTGGCCCCATCTTGGTTAGGACTGACCGATTCCCGCTGCAGTTCAACGCCACTATACACACAAAGAGGAGGTGACCGCAAAAGAAGGGACGAAACAGGAGAGCCAAAATCCGTTCAAACCAGGTGGTGATGACACCAGACACATGTCAAAGACACAATCCGAAAAAGCTTCAAGCGCTTTGACGCGAAGGATGCTATTAGTTGGAGGCCATCGCAAGTAAGTTGGAAGCCACTACTACTAGGAGCAAGAAGCTACAGGCTTGACTGTATTCGACAGGACTCGATGAAGAATCATTTCGACTCGATGGAGCGAGACCGAAGGTCGAATGCGATGATCTGAGATGGGATGAGATGAGGGTGGCTGTTCAGCTGTGACCTGTGTATATAAAGGGAACATGTGTCCATCTCTGACATAAAACAGGTTCATTATGGTTCATGTTATTTGTGATTACTACCTTCGATTCTGCCCATCATCTTAGAATGGAAACAAGCTTTGACGCCTCCTTGTGTCTTATACTTATTGTTTCTTTTATTTACAGTATATATGCCTGTTTTGTTTCATAATTTTTGATGTTCTTCAAGCGCATTCAATTCCATAGTACGGTCTAACCTTGTAAGCAGCTAGCAACAATAAGAAAAACCTCTCCACTTTGACGACTCTGTTTGTTTTGACAAAACAACATGACAAAGGGTCGTTCGATCTTTTTACACCCTGCCACAGGTCGTGCAAAGATCTTCGCGGCACCTCAAATAAAATGAGCTGGAACAGCGTGCTTTTCGCTGAGAGATTCCTTTCTTGTGATACTGTAAATGTCAGTTGAGACTTGGCATCTGGCAAATACAAAACCCGTGGCCTTGGCCAAGTCATTACTGTAAGTTCAAAGAAAGCCTGTTGGGTTTTGCCTCAAAATATGTATATATATATATACAGTATTAGAAAAGTGGAGAACCCTCATCATGCCTGGTGCTGCCAAACTTGCCAATGGCATGCTAGGATATCCTTTTCGCCCCCATGATAAGTGGGTTTGGTTGTATTATGAAAGCGCAACTCTTAAAGTTACCAAGATTATCCAAGATGTAATATTATAGCAAAGGACCAGGAAAACAAGGGAGACAAGAAAAGCATGCAAAGTAAAACAACGCAAAACACCTCATCCGGCTTGCCCAGTGCGAATGCTGACGGAACAAATGGCAAGCTGACAAGTCTTAAGAGTTACAGGCTGCAGCCAGTGAGCGGATAAAACATGATCAAACGTACAACTGGGAGGCCTTGGCAAGCCTTGGGCTTTCCCGACGATGGAGTGATAGTACGACAATATTACCAGAGGTAGGCGAGTGCACAGTGACCATTGGCAAGCTGGAAGGCCTTCCGATTAATCAACAAGTGTGCGCAGGGTGGGATCTTTGATTGGAGGGTGTATATAGTTGAAAGATCAGCTTGGAGGCCATCGCTATTAGGTTGGAGGCCATAGCAAATGATCACTCTTCGAAGGTCGACAGCCGCCCCCCTTTGAGGCTACAAGATGCTACAAGTACCTGCAGTATCCTGAATTAAGCACAGCTCCTGTCGAATATCAAGTCCCAGCTGGCTGAGAAATGACCTGTCACGTTGGCTTTCAGGCACGACAAGCTTCGAGCAAGAACTTTCGTTCCAGTCATGCTCATGCTGCTGGCAAACGTGTCACATGCTACGAAATGGCTGGCAGCAACAGCGGACTTGTTCGAAGGCTTCCTAGTCCACGTCCAGTAACAACAACCTCGAATGCCAGCCAATCATACTTGGGTAAACTTGCAGCCACAAGGCCAATGCAAGCGAAACAAAGATGTTGGTACACGGCTGGCATCTTGGCTACACACAAAGCCACGTGTTGCGCGAAAGGCCCGCTTCTCTGCCAGTTGCAGTAGTGCTGCACCTGGGCTTTTGTGCTTCACTCAACATGTCGTTTGCCCTATTTCAAGCTCAAAAAGGATCGCAGAAGTTGAATCCGAGAGGAAAGCTCACAGCCGCTTCTGCTACTGCGGCAGAGCAAGAACCAGGGCCTGTACCAATACTAGCCAAAACTGCATTAAAGCAGTGAAGCGTCTGAATCTCAGGATCTCCGTCCTAGAGAATGTAAGTCCAAGATGTCAGCCTGTCAAAAGCCGAAGAGGGTGCAGAGGCACAACAAAGCATGCTTGCCGGAATGCCTTCTTTGTCTTTTGCCACAGAGAAAAGATCTGAGCCTTTTGGGTGCAACGGATTCGAGCAAGTCGGTTCAAATCGATCATTATCGGAAACTATCAGAACAGCACAAAAGAAAGCAGCACAAGCCATGGCCTCCTGTGCTTCCAACAAAAGGCTCATGGCAGCTGTGTCTTGCCCTGCATCAAGGAGAAGGTCAGCTAATCCAACGACTTGCACCTTGGACAGTGGGAGCTGCATGGAGGGAAAGACAAACACACTCTCATCAAATATATTATGCTCACAAGTGCGCGGCACCCTCTTCCGTGTCATCTCTGTCAATGGCCTGTTTACTTGCTAGCTTCGCCGCAAAGCTCAGAACGAACCCAATTTGAAGCAACATGTGCCTGCTTCAGTCTTTGGAAGTAGGCCAATGCTGCTTGCCAGTGAAGAACACTGATCCTTATGCTTGTCACCAGAGCCAGGGCGAAACTACAGCCTTGGGGCCCTAGCCACTCTCTTGGTAATCTCCCTGCTAAACCCTTCGCAGCTGCTGCAAACTCGGCCTGTTTGCAGGTCAAACTGTCTTCGCATGTATCTCATTCGGCCTTCTCTCTCTCTCTCTCTCGGCTCTCTTTCTCCAAAACACAGTCATGCCGTGATGCCACTCCAAAGAGTGCAAAATGGCCACAACAGCCTCATCAACCAATGCTTGCGAGCGACTGGCCAAACCGGCCTCTCACAGGCACAAGTGCAACATCTCAGCAGTCTCCAAAAATAGCTTCCCGCGCATCTAGTAATATCAATGCACAATCAGGTTGGAGGCCATCGCTAGTAGGTTGGAGGCCATCACTAGTAGGAGGGAGGCCATTGCTATTAGGTTGGAAGCCATCGCTAATAGGTTGGAGGCCATCGCTAGTAGGAGGGAGGCCGCGCCAGTAGGTTGGAGGCCATCGCTAGTAGGTTGGAGGCCATCTCAAGTAGGTTGGAGGCCATCGCTAGTAGGTTGGACGCCATTGCTAGTAGGTTGGAGGCCATCGCTAGTAGGAGGGAGGCCATTGCTATTGGGTTGGAGGCCATCACTATATAGTCGGTTGGAGGCCATCCCTAGTAGGTTGGAGGCCATCGCTAGTAGGAGGGAGGCCAGCGCTAGTAGGTTGGAGGCTATCGCTAGTAGGAGGGAGACCCTTGGAATTATATATATGTATAGTTTCTATCAATGCACAACTAGTCAAGAGGCCTCTGCACAAGCTTTGGAGACAATACCGAATTGCAGGATGAGGTCTTCTTTGCCACCTCATCGAGCGTCCACAAAAAGTATTCAAAAAGTCGCAGAGTGGGCATCAATATCAGGATAAAATTGACTCTGCTAACGAGCGGCGGGCTGCACCAATGTACAAACTATCGGACTTCTGCAAGGCACGCAAGTGGCTCAATGCATCAGACCATCGCATGGCGTAAGCACAAGCAGCAATCAAAGCCTGAGTAGAAGAGCGACTCAGTGCAGAAGAGCGACTTGGGTGGCTTCAAGAAATCTTGCCTTGTACGTTGGCATGCTTGGAGAAAGCCCATGGAGCAGCAGCCCTTCAAGAATCCTGCACGGAGGAGCGTATCAAAGTGGGAAATGAAATGATCAATCAACAAGCGGGTCCTGTGAGACTCTTCCCATCGGCTTGCTTGCCGGCACACTCCAAGCACAGCATTGAAAGAAAAAATATCAGGTTGCCCTGTCATCAGCGCATCCTCAAGGCAACAGACCAAGCTGTTCAATCTAGTGACTAGTGCTTCGGAAAAGATTCCAAGAAATTGAACTGTAAAGCCCATTGACGTATTTATTGTATCACAGTGAAAGCCTCTACAAATAAGGCTACCGTCCCGCCTCATGCAGCTGGATGGCAAGTTGCCACTCCGCCCCATATCCGCCTTGATCACAAATAATTACTCATTCGTCACACGAGGATGGCTGGAAGGCCACTATTCGTGCTGCGAGGTGCATGCGGATATCAGGGAAGTGTAGCTCAGCATGTCCGGTCGCTCTGACCTAGGAATGTGTCAACTACCCTTGGACTACTAGATGAATCTAGATGATAATCTGGCGTCGTCTGAAATCTAAATGAAAACTTCTCCAAAAGGGCATCCCCCGACAAAGTCGACCTACGGTTGATGACCAAAATCCTGCACCACGCAGACCACGCAGCTCAATCACACAACATTGACTCGGAGGCAGGGAGACCCCTGTTGGACCACCACATGTGTTGATGCAGTGATTCAGATTTTTTTCCTCAACTGCGTGAAAAGAAAGAAAGCGTGCAACTCACGGCAGTTCTTGACGCAACACACCAAGCGCAGAGCTCGATTTGCATGTCATTGAACAGCTTCAGTGCAGCATGAAGGTTTCGCGCCTTGCACGTCAAGAAAGAAGGCAATGCAAAAGTTGTTTTAAAAGAAATGTCTTTAAGCAAGTTGTTTGTCGAAATTCATTGGTCCGGGACATCGCAACAAAAAACATCCAAAAATGCTACTTGCCTTGCGGCATGCATCTAGGCACAGGTTCAAAATGATGAGATTTGGTTTCTGCCTCCAAGCACGACGCAGTACAAACAATAGTGGACATACTGGTGCCCTGCACTGCTCAAATGTCATGTCACATTGTCACTTGTTTCACTTGGTAGCGAGCCTATTTTGCAGCGATCTCATCAGCTCAACTGCCTCCTGAGTTTGGACGAATGTGCGTTGTCCTTCGGTCCGTTGCTATGGGCCTCCCAGCCTCCCATTGAAAGGCATTGCCACAAGCTCTGATTGCAGAACCGTATGTGGCAAGAGTCCGCTTCAGCTTAATCTGCCAGGTCAAGCTGAGGCTGTATTTGCAAAGAGCAGCTAGTGGCAGTACATTGCTTGCTGTTGATAGTTCCTATCACTCCCAAATGCTTCTCCCCATGGCAACTTTAGCCTCATTCATCTCTTCCAGCAAAGTCAAAGCCTCTCAAAGAGGGAAGCCAACAGCAAACAAACAACAAATATCAAGTACAAAGCTTAAAGCCGCCAAAAATGCATGAATGTCGTTGTCGTCCGGTCCTCCTCCCATCGGGAACCCCCATCAAGCGCACTGAGCGTCGCATTGAAAACCACCACATCTGGAGAAATCTCACAGCCATTCATGTTGGCAAATACCTGGCAGAAGTGTGACTGTAGAAAGCACTGAGCATTTTGAACAAGGTATGGGTGTTGACCAGTCAAAACTGCTTGAGTGTATTATAGACTGAAATGCCAACTTGTTCGTGAAGAAGCAAAAGCAAAAAACGACGTGTTTATCCACATCACATAAATACCCCATCTCCGAATTCTCCCATGGTATTTAAAGGTCCTAGGTCCTAGTAAAAGGATGGTGTTGAGGTGAGAATAGTCAAGTGATCGATGTGAACCCCACGGCCGAAAAAATAGCATCCCACGACTTTCCTTGTACATATTTATCTATTCTGCATTTATAGACGCTTTCTTTTCGAGGGGGATGGCCATGGAGGCAGTGGGGTAGTCAGCCAGTTAGTACGCTGCGGCTGCACATGCAAGGTTGCATGTCAAGCACGAGGTTCTTCAACAAAGTTTCTTATGTCTGAGGAGGGGATAAGCCTTTTGAAGAACCCCTTTCGTATGATCAAAACAGTTGCCAACACTAGATGTTAGGGGACTATCTTGCTGTTTGTTTTGTTTTTGTCTTTTTTGTGTCTGTCTCTTCTTCTCATTTTTTATGTTTCTATTGTTTCTTCTTTCTTCTCTCGACAGCGCTGAGGACAAAGCCTGCAGCGCGTGCTCCCAAGCCCGCCCTCGCTCACAAGCTGAAAGCGTCGTGCCTCAGAGATAGGTGAAACCAAAGGTTCGATTGTCAACTGAAGTGTCTTTGAAAGCAGTGTCCTTTGGAACATTTCCTGAGGTGTCAATTTTTTGCGATTGTCTTCTGAGTCATATGACGTAATATGAACGGTTGGTCCCCAGAAAAAGAATACGGTTGATACACCTCTTGTAAGATGTCATTGATATTTGCAGGATGTTTAAGGCATGTGTCAAGAGTTTTCAGGGGCTTTGAATTTGGCTTGAGAAGGGGCATACATACATCTTCAAAAGGAAAAATTAGAGCATTCCTGGCACGTCAGAAGCTAAAGAAAAGTTAAGGAGTCGCAAGTCCGGCAAGCCAATGAACAACACCCCAACGTTAAGAAAATCATTCCATATGCAAGATTCGTCAACTTTTTCAGTGAAGTAAGTGCAAAATCACTGCATACTGCATACCTGAGAAGGGGGGACCAAAGCCAGCCTCCGTAAGAAGACATCAATGTGGTTATGGGGTGAAGTCGACAGTGCACTCCAACTGCTGTCAGGCATGGGGAAATAGAAGGCAGAAAGGCGCAAAGTCTCGCACTGAGGGTTGCTATGATAGGTTTTTTTACACAAGGGGACACCCTGGGAGCGCGTTTTTCATCATCCCTGGGGTTCCCTTGTTCATCAAACTTACATACATTCTGTCTGAAACATCTGCAATGGCTATATCATTCATTCCTGTGCAACCACGGTTAGATGTCTGCTTAGCACATCTGCAATGACTGCAACGGCTGTACCTGATCAAAAAACTGTTGAAAAGCATACAAAACAGAAAACACGTTTCCACCAGGAAAAACATAAATAGCTACCAACCCAAAAACAGACCAAGGCCACCAAGAATTATTATTTTAAGTTTCTTTGGCTTAGTGTTATTGTTTTTTTGGTTTCTTGGTTGTTGTTTCTTTGGTTTACCCCAAGACCACGGAAAACAAAAAAGATCCAGACCCCAAGGCCACCAAGAAATATTACTGTAGGTTTGCCCTGCTAAAAATTGTGTTGTTTGTTTTTTGGTTTCTTAGTTTTTTGCTTACCCCAGGACCAGGAAAAACATAAATAGACATCAACCAAAACAAAAAAAACAAAAATCCAGACCCCAAGGCCACCAAGAATTATTACTTTAGGTTTGTTTGGTTTAAAAATATATGTGTTCGTGTTTTTGTCTTCTTGTTTTTTGGTTTACCCCCAAGACCAAAAAAAACATAAATAGAAATCAACCAAAACAAAAAGAAAAAATATACCAGCATAGACCCCAAACGCCAAACAGCTTCAAAACGATTCGCTTAGACCAATATTAGTCAACAAGTGATTTCTTGGTACGCCTCAATTACCTTCATCCCAAGAGCAAACTGCTTCATCAATGAATTTTTGTCGGCATTGACATCGCTATTTGTTCGGCCACACTCCTCTCCAGTAAGCCGGGCCACAGAGACCAGCCACAGAGTTCAGGGGCGCGGCCAAGACAAGGACAAGAGGAGGACAAGACCCGGACACAGAGCCAGGCCACAGAGGACAAGGCCCAGCCACAGAGCCCAGCCACAAAGGACAAGAGGAGGACAAGGCCTGGACACAGAGCCCAGCCACAGAGGACAAGGCCCAGCCACAGAGCCCAGCCAGAAAGGACAAGAGGAGGACAAGGCCTGGACACAGAGCCCAGCCACAGAGGACAAGAGGAGGACAAGGCCTGGACACAGAGCCCAGCCACAGAGCCCCACAGAGTTCAGGGGCGCGGCCAGTGAGTGTGGCCAGCTCTTTTTTTCTAAGATAGAACCCCAACAGTAAACTGTTTGGTGAAAAATCCAGACCGCAAGGCCACCGAGAACTATTACTTTAGGTTTGCTTTGCTTGAAAAATTGGGCAGTTCTTTTGTTTCTTTGTTCGTTTACCCCAAGGCCACCTCTAAAAAAACAAAAACAAAAACATACTTTAAAACAATTACAGACCCCAAGGCCACCAAAAACTATAAGCTTTTGGTTTGCTTAGCTAGAAAACCTTTACAAAATTCTAACTTAGGCTAGATTTTAATCTCTGTTTACTTTCAGTCTGTAATTTGGCTTTAACTCAATTCCAACTAAATTAAAATTCAATCCTAACTGAGTTCTAATGCAAATATAAAGTTCATTCTGATCGAGCTGTAGGCTGAACAGTTCTAATTCAATTCTACTCCGACTCTAATTAATTTCTAATTTTACTAATGAAGTTTGGGTTCAACCTTAGTTAATCCCAATTCAAATCAAAATTTGGGTATAATTGATTGACTTTCAGCTTGTCTCGAAATTCTAATTCAATATTGAACATTGTTCTAATTCAAACTTAGTTTCTTTTCTACATAATTTCTGTGCAGTTAATGTTCAGTTTAATGCAAATTTGAACCCTATACAATTCATGTTTAAAGTGGCTGTCAATTCCAATGCTTAATTTTGCGTAAGTCTGTGTTAATTTTGCACATTTGATTCGATTATTCGGTTCTAATTCTATGCTAATGTTCAACATATGTTCTAATTTTAAACAGATTGAAGTTAATTCAATTCTGATTTCATTCTAGAGAGCGGGAGGGTGATTTTGAGGCAGTAAGCTTCAAGAATACAAAGAAGAAGTAATACAAACGCTTTCATTTAAAGACAACACGCACTCTCTAGAAGTAAAGATCGATTTACATAAACGCTAGAATTAGATTAGAAAATGTTGTTACGACGACACGCCTCCGATCGACGTAACGAGTAAACGCTCTGTTTTGACAGCGCTTGAGCCAAAAGTCGGTTTTCCAAAATGAGTGATACACCTTGGTAAGACAAGTGATGTCTAGAGAACAACCAAGTGGAGCTACCTATGTACAGTACCTCTAGTAGAGGGGGCCACCTTATGTGGAATCCTTCAACTCCCCCCTCGAGGCTTGGCTGTTCGGAAAATCACTGCCCTAGATACAATTTCCGGTCAGTGCCACGATGGCAAGCCGCACTGGCACCTGACAATTTCATGCCCGAAGGCTATGCCTTGTAACGCAAAGATAACTGTTGCAAAGTCAGGCTCCACTCATTCGGTGGGATAATCTTTGTGAAGCTATTGGCCTTTTGTTGAAGTGTAGTGCAATGCTGTGCATTGACGGATTCATCCTGAAGGGCTTCCGAGACCGCTGCAATGTTCACCTTGTGTACACGCCCGCAGTGGCGCAGGCGAGCAGAGTACCCTGCTTCAAGTACCTGGAGTACAGCACTATTGTCCTGGAAGAACTTCACCTCAATCTAAGATCCTACAAGTTGTTGCACAAACGACTGCAAATTATATACCTCTCCATAAAGACCGTTAGCCATTGCTATCAGCTCCGCTTCCGTGGTGGAGCGGGCGACGCTGGATTGTCGTTTGCTCTGCCAAAACACAGGAAAAGTCAAACCGGACCCAGAAATTTCAATCCAAAGACCGGATGTACTCTTCACGGTGTGCATGCAGCCTGCAAAATCGGCATCCGTGTAAACATCCAACCTGAAGTTCTCATCATGTGAGACTGAACCTTTCAGGATCAGTTCTTGAGAAGAATTCAGATATGACACACATCGGTGAAGCTGCCTGTCTTCAAACCTACTCCAACAAGAAACCCGACTGGCAAGTCGTGTGACTATAAAGGAGAGGTCTGGCCTCGTGAGGCGGGACAACCAGAGGAATCGCATGAGTATGCGCGCAGCATCCCTCTCAAGCTCTCCACTCTGTGTGAGATCCTCCTCTGTGGCTGATGCTTCCGGCAGGTGAGGTGAAGGCACATGCCTGAACCTCTTCCTTTCAAAGCCAGTCAGCTCACAATACGTGTCTACGATGCTATCTGTATATGACCTCATGTCCAACTCACATTCTGCGCAGCCGTCCTTGACCTCCATATAGCGCTTTCTGCCAAGAATGAGTGTCCCTTCTTGGCCAACGATGTACTGCTCTGGCTCTAGCTTCACGCTCTCTCGGAGCTTCGTCCAGAACTCTGCGTGACATCGTTGATCTCCGCACAAGGTCAGATCATCAACATACACATTTAAGAGAAGGGTTATGGTCTGATTCCCTACTTTCCATGGGATCATATAGTTTGAGGGGTACATTGGCAGTTCCTGTGCACCTAAGTTACGCAAACGAAGGTCTAGGTGATCTTGCCACCATCTACCTGCACGGGGGTGACCGTACAGTGATTTGCGCAGTTGAACTACCAACTTGGACCCGGGCTCAAACATTGCGCGCCATTCATCCAGCCACATTTCGACTGGAGTGATCACATAAGTCAGGTCACTAGTGTCCAGTTCCGATTGCAAAAAGGCCTGAGTGGCATCGGCACATGACGCCGCATTTCCCTTCCTGCAAGCGTTCCAGAGTGCAACGTTCAGCGCCACCAGCGATGTTGGTGTGGTAGCGGTTTGATCAAAGAGCAACGGGTTGTTGTCTTGATCGCGCACCTGGTCACCCCTGTAGACTACGCGGCCCTTATACTTCTAAACAGATGGATGCAGTTCATAGTGTTTAATGCCGACCAATGTCAACAGTTCGGCCACCTTGATGCGCTTACCCATCGCGCGGGCCCGCGCCTTCAGTTTTGGAAGTGTGGTGACTGTCGAATCATCCCATGTCGCGTTCGCGCGGAGTCCGACAGTTTCCTGCCGCAAAGCCTCCAAAGCTTTAGGGTCACTTAACCATTCCTTACGTGTGAGTGACTTGGTTACAGCTGCAAGCTTTGGGACTGTCTTATACCACTGCTGTGGATACCAAGCTTCCGTCACCATGTCAGCGAATTCAGACGTGTAGTAAGCAGTGTGCGCTGCATTACCAGCCATTGACTCACCGTGGGTGTGCGGGGCATCGCATCTATGCTGGCTTACAAACTGATACATACGGATGCAGTTGTGACAATACACCAAGGCTTCTTCAGGAGCTGTCCAGATTTACTGCGCAAGTTGAATGCACATCCGTCGCAATAGGCACGTTTGAGGTTACGACGCTGCTCGAATTC